TATATATAGAACAATTCTACTGAAAATTGAAAGTATCAAATTGTATCATAGCCTCTATCATGATCATTACAGAGACCGGAATTACATGCATGAATTCAAATTTTGTTGATATTTATTGCTTTAATGGGAATAAAATGTCCTTTTTAAAAACAAAACTTTATGTTCACAGAGATATAAAAACAATTTATTAATTATATACATTTTTTTACAAAAGCAAATATAAATTTCTTACTGATTAAAACGTTTTTGGTTCAGATATTATAGATACTTTCATATTTACTTATAATTAGTTTGAAAAATGAACTATTTCATTTTAAAGTTGATGTTTCCCAAAGTTTATCATGTTTCATAATATTCATAATCATTTCTTGACTGACAGACCATAATCTTGTGGCAAGCGCAGAATCTAGGGCCACGTTTGATGGATCGCAACGATAACAATTATTGAAATAAACTCCAGTTACACCTTCCAATTCTGGTGCAGTAGCACAAAAGACTGATGTACTCGCGGCTTGTTGCTGTAAAATTAAACAAATTTTAAGTAAAATTTACAACAATTCTTACTCTAAATAAATAATTGTCGTACCAGTGATTTCGTGAAAGGTCGCACTAGCATAAATAACAATCGTAATGTCCACGAATAACGAGATAGAGAAGAAGAAACCATATTACCAGGATGGCAGCTGAATACGCTTACAGAAGGCCAACGTTTTGCCAATTCTTGTGCAAATAAAATATTACATAATTTGGAATTATTATATGCTCCCATAAACCAGTATTTATATGCAGGAGGAGAAAGAGTTAATTGATGAAAATCTTCTATTGTTCGAAGAGATGAAAATCTGTTACATAAATTAAAATATTATAGATCCAATTATTATAATAAAATTAAAGAGTTCCATTCTAATGCACTACTTTAAATAATTAATCAATTTTGAATACCTATGTGATTCACTTGAGACAACTACTACCCTAGAATTATGACAATTTCGAATTTGTTGTTCTAATAAGAGTGTAAAATAAAATTGTGAAAGATGATTAATTTGAAATGTTGTTTCATAACCATCTTTTGTAAGTTGATAAGGACATGCAAATACTCCAGCATTCAAAATAAGAATATGTAAAGTTCTGGAAATAGAAAGCTTATTAATGACAAACAATGAAGGAACAGATAATATATCATAAACACTTACCTATATTTTTGCTTAAATTTTTCAGCTGCTTCTCTAACACTATGTAAAGAGGACAAATCTAAATGCAATATTTCACATATTACACTGTCCCTCTCTTGTTGTATTTTCTTAATCGCTTCTTCACCTTTCTTTAAATCTCGACATGCTAAAATAACTTTACATCCATGTAGAGCTAATGATCTAGCAGTTTCAAATCCTAGAAACACAATATTTTCTTATGATAAAAAATTATTTTCATATTGAACAAACATAATTAATGCTTTTTACCTATGCCAGTATTAGCACCAGTAACAATGGCAATTTTTCCTCTTAAATCTCTACCATGTAAAACAGATAATGCGGTGCTACTACTATCAAAGCGCTGTCGTACAGGCTGTGATGATTCTCTATATTCCGTAGCAAATGCAAGTCGTGGATCAGTATATGTTGTTGTACGGTTTACATGATCAATAAATAAAACTCTACCATCTTCTGATACACATCTATCCCATCCAGATGGTAATTCTTGAAACATAATATTACTTTAAACATTTAAATATTTATTAGATACTTCGTGTTAACACCATAAGGAAAATTATGTTTTACATTGTGTTGTAAATATAAAAATGGATTATAATTATATTTTAGTTTTAAATTGAATTTAATTTTAAATTAAATTAACAATTTATATAATCAATGGAAGTAAATAAATTTAAAGGATATCATACCACCCTCAACAATTTTTTTACGGCCTGTTCTGGGATGTGTCCATTGAGTACCTTTTGTGTAATGACTAAAAAAGAAATTACACATACAATTTTATAACTTGTAAAATAAAATTTTTACCATATCAGATTATAATCATGCAGATTATTTAGATAATTTTATTTTCTGCATACTAAATACAAGTTTTTTTTGTATGTATTAAAGGAATTTATATATAATTTATTATAATAATTATGATTTACTTCACATAATAAACGTTTCCATCAACAGTTGTCATTTCTTCCCATCCAGGGGGTAATTCATCTTCACTGTCGGAATCATTCAACATACCTATCATTTTCTTAAAATTTGTTATCTTTTTATTAATTTATATCAACTGATATTAGATATACATTTTTAAAAATCGCCGCATGGTGCAGCACCCTTGTGGCGATTAAAACATTGAACGTGAGTATCATCTGTTACTGTCTGCTACTTTTTGCCTGATTTTGAAAATGCTTTTTGTAAATTAGGCATAAAGCATGTCAATACGTGGCTATTCTTGTGGGCTATAAGAGAACTATTTCCCTTGGCTGCCATTTTTCCTAGAGAAGTCAGATTGCACGTGCTTGCTACTTGATTGCTACAACTTCAGGGTTTTAACTTACATGGGATTACTGTATACAAGTATGGTATAATCAACTATATTGGGGTAATAGTAGTGTGTATTTATAATATATTTTAAGCGTGGCATCGTTTAAATGTTTTGTGATCATGGTACATTTTATCAGAATAACTAACACTGATTATTACATAAGAAATATGAATGCAAAATACAGTAATCATTCTTCAGACGCAAATCTCTCAGAAGTTTTGTGTATATTGTATAAATCCTACATTGATTGTTGTTTTGCCAAATGTAGAAAAGAGCAGACACATCCACTACTTGCATATAGCATATAAGTCCTACATTGTCTGATTTTTTGCTGAATGTTGAAAAAAATAGCAAGCAAAGGAAAGTAAATGTAACTAAAAGTAAACAAACAGTAACACATCAGTGGTACAGTCCTAATGCAAGAATAAAACTTTTATTTTTGATTTTTTTAATGAAACTTTTACTAATATATTTGCAACGTTTTTCTAATTAAAATGAGACTAAACACGACGTAATTCGGAACATACTTATTTGTAATTTCAAACGTTATGCTTACAATGAGAACATTACTCTAATAAGTTATGGTAAATAAATATGATCTGAATTATATTGTGTTTGATCTCATTTTAAACAGAAAAATGTGAAAGATCTATTGGTAAAAGTGATAATGAGAAATAACATTTTTGCCTATATACAATGATTACTGTATCTATAGTTATACATAGTTTTATATTATCATGTGCTGGATATATGATAGTACTTCTTCATTATATTATATTTCACTTTTTTTTCAGGTATATATGACTAAAGTAAATAATATTAAGATGGAACTAGATGATGTTAGTATACTTGTACAAGAACTAAAAGAAGCTAATAAACTTTCAACAGAACAGACAGAGGTGATGTACCTACTAATAATTGTTTAATTTTGATATTTAAGAACCAGCTAATGTATGTATAAATTACTATATGATATGAAAATAATTTTAAAAATTGTTGTTTATTATAGTACTTGAGATCATTATGTATACAGTTAAAAAATCCAGTGCTACCGCAGCACCAAATTGAATTACGTGCTGGGTCTCACTGCCCAACTCGTGAGGAAATAGAAAGGTTTGAAAAGATAGCACCTATTAAGAAAGGATGTTATAGTCCAGAAGAAGACGAAATAATTGCTAGTAATTGGAAATCATTTTGCAAGGTTTGTTCATCATATAGTAACAACTTATATAGCAAAATTGGTAATTGAACAAAAGTATGTCTTTGTAGCTGCATGATTGGAATTCTAATAATGTTAACCCCTTTTTGCAATTACGAGAAGACAATACAGTGTATATTCGGAGTAAAAAAGAAAGACGGAAATTTGTGCAGTTTTTAGCAGATGGTCTTCCAAATAGAACTTTATACAGCGTATATCATAGGTTCAGGAACTTATATGCAAATCATTTGCAAAGAAGGTAACATTTAATAAATAAAAAAAAAATAAATATAACCTTAGATAAATTTTAATCTAGTAATATAGGATTCTAATTAATACTTTATAAATTTTTTTACAAACCCATCAGAAATATAAGTAAATTTTTAGTTTACAAGTTAATGGATTTTCATTAAAATATAATTTTTTAATTTTTTAATTATATTTTTTAATAATTACATATTAACTTTAATTCTTTTCTTTTTAAGAGATTATGTATTTAAGTTATCAATATACCACAAAATTATAGGTATATCAAACAATTAAGTTTTGCATATATAGGATACATATAACAAAAAGATAAAATTTCACTGGGACTATTGTATAACTTAATCAGTTCTATCAACATTTTTATAGCATAATCTACTTATTTTAAATGTTATTAGTATCAATTTTCAAATTTTTTAATTAAAAACAAAATATTTTTAAGTAAAATCAATGTTATTTTTTATTTAAATTAAATCTGTATTTTATAGAACGAAAACGTACAATAAGGTTAAATATATCACACATAATATTATAAAATTTATATACAAATATATTTTATATTTTTTTAAGTCAAACAATTTCACTTTTATATAAGCTTTTGTATTATTAAAAATGGTAAAGGCACATATGAACTTTAATGTATCATAATCTGTTATACAATATATATTTAGTTATATGTAAATTATGAATATTTATGTATTTGTGATAATATATCAATCTGCAAAGTATAAATAAATCGAGTAAACTGCAGACTGCTGATTTTGTAGAACGTAACATTTATATATAGCTTACAGATTTTGATAAGTCATAAAAGCATAAAGATCCATAGTGTAGTATATCATATGATGTTATTAATTTAGAAAATGCTAATCTTTAACTTTGTTTATATTATTAAGGTTCCAACCTGAAGAGGACCAGATGATTTTAAATCACTTAGAACATAATCCGAATCTTGATGACAAACGGAAATACGCCGACTTAGCAAAAATTTTGAAACGAACTCGGGCATCCATATGGCGTCGCTATAAGTTACTTAAGAAAAAACGCGAAAAAAATATAAAAAAAGAACCATACTCTTAGTATGTCATATTACTTATTATTGCTCAATGTTTAAATTTTTAATATAAAATTTCTTATTTAGTTTTGTGGTTTAGTACATTCATGTAAGTAATGTATACATTTGATTACATCTATTATTGTAACATAAATTAAATATATTAACGATTTATACTTTATGCACGCGCATACACATTAAATGAGTACGTTATAGATTGAAATATTCATTAATATATGTCAAATACAAAGATTCAAATTACCATGAATTAGTATAAAATGTTAGTTAATGCCTTTCTATAAAAAATAATGTTAATTATTTTATAATACTTTTATTTAGTTGTTATTACGTATTTATTTGTTAAACTTCTCCGAATTTTCTAAATTCTTAACACAATACAAACAAATAAGCATACATTATATATGTGACATTTAAAATAAGTAAAATTGTATACATGTAAATATAGAAATATGAAGACAAAATAAAAAATTATGATTTTTAAATAAATTTGTTGACATAATGTACACATATATTTAAAACTAATGAAGATTTTTCTAATTAATACATAATTGTTATTAGTTATCGGTTATGGATGGCACACTAAATTATTATATACTAATTATAATTTTCGTTATTATTCATATTTAAGAAATATATCACGAATTTTATGCATTTAATACAAATTAAAATCAATCTCAGTTTTAAAATCCATTAAGTAATAAATTTTCATACGCGTAAGATTCTATTAAAATATGGATTAAAAATAAATCATAATTTAAGTAACAATGAAAAATAAAATATCGTAAGTTTATTTGTAATATCAATGGATGTATTTAATTTTTACCATTTATTTTTCACATTTATATTTTCTTAAAATTTTATGTTTTCAGTAAAATATCAAGACTACTGCTTCAAATTATTTTTTAATTGTATGCATTAATTACTAATAATAAAACTAATAAAACACAAAATTTAACAAAGAACTTCGACAATATTTGAACAAAAATAATAAAACTTTAAATATTGATTATTACTTTATACAATTTGTACAAAATTTTATGTTTAAATGAAATTCAAAGCAGAACATGATTAATATAACTACACATATACTTATTTTATCAATGTATTTTTGCATAATGTGAATGCACTAATGAAAATTAAAATATTTAAAGCAACAATAAAAGATAATACATGTAGGAATCAATCCATATAAATGTATACATTTAATTATTTGTACAAAATATAAATTATAATACTGCTAGTGTTAGCATTAACTTCTCAATAAGAAAAGGATAAACAGTGTAAATGTCATATAATATTAGAAATAACACACAACTCTATTTGAATGCAATTACATATAATTATAAAACTATATGTAACTATGTATACAAGTATATATACAAGGTATCCGAAAATCATGATAGGTATGATGCTTTTTTGGAACACTAATAAAAATTAATGTTTTTAATTTTAAATTTGGGAATTTAAGAATTAAACATATAATTAGTGATTTACATTTTACAAGAATGGAATGAAAGCAACTGCTTTCACTTTCACAATTAGTATGAACTTGGGATACCTCATAAATAAATTCATGTATTTACAGAATTGAATTATTATTTTAATTATTTCAATTTTATAAATGTTATAAATTGAAATAACTTAGATATATTATGAATTTTGTTGCAATAAAGCAGTAGTCGAAAATTTTAAATACAGGAGTATTTAAATAATAACTGTTTAGTAAAAAAGAAAAGTTGCTCATATATTTACACAATTGCATTGTTTCTACAATAATGTCTTATATAGTATACGAAATGTAGCACATTCTACCATTCTGTACTTATTTAGCACGTATACATGTTCATATGAATGTATACGTTTAGCAAACATACATGTATATGCATATATAATCTGTTGTGATAAATAAGCAAAATCATGTTTCTGATATAATAAATTTCAACTTTTTAAAACATTTGTCCTATCACAGCAAGTGATCGTACTGCAGATTGCACATTATTTACATGAATATGATGAGCAACTGAATGATGGTGCTCTTCTACAACTATCTCTCCATACTGAGCTCGACAACGTTTTTGATGAGCAAATAAGCTACCACTATGACTATATGCTGCTCCACATGTTTTACATACATATGGTTTTTCACCAGAATGAGTGTAAGTATGTTCTTTTAAAGTACTTAGTCTTTTAAATGCTTTACCACATGTTTTACACAAATAGTTTGCTTCTCCAGTATGACGAGTTAAATGTCGTCTAAAAGCAGAACTTACAGCGAATGCAGCACTACATACATGACAAACAAATGGTTTATCACCAGTATGAATTCTAATATGATTTGCTAAACTGGTTGTTGTAGTAAATCCACTATTGCAAGTTTTACAAACATGTGGCTTAATACCAGTATGAGTTCTCATATGATACGTGAGGGAAGAGTTACTTGGATACACTTTACTACATATGTGGCACAAGTATTCTCGTGGAACTTTTTCTTTTGGTACATGTGTCCTTTGATGAAGTACAAGACGAGCTTGACTAGCACAAATCTTTCCACAAATTTCACAAGTAACTGGTTCAGCTTTCGGTTTGTGTGTAGATACGTGGCGCCTAAGACCTTTCTTCGTAGCCATGACTTTATCACAATGTTGGCATTTATATTCACCAGAACCATCTTCATCACTTTCTTCCTTTTTAACACTTTCACTCTCTTGTTCAGTACTTTTTGTAGTATTTGGACAAGAGTCATCATCAGAATCAAAGAATTTATTATTATCAACTAAATTGTCTAATAATCCATGTCCATGTTTTTCTGCATGTTTTTTTAAAGTATCTGGCCTGAAGAACCATTTTTTACATACAGTGCATGAATATTTTTTATCACCATGTACCAGAGTATGTCTTTTTAGATTTTTCAAAGAAGAACAATACTGACTACAAATTTCACATTTGTACAATTCAGGTGCATTTTCAAAATTATAACCTTCATTAACAGTACCACTTTCATCATCTGTATCATCTTCAAGTTTCATTTCTTTCTTCGGTTCATTATTATCCTTTTGTTCATCTGTATTAATTTGTTTAATCATGTCATTTACTTTTTCTGTATGGGATTTTAAATGGCGCACAAGACTTTGAGGCTTAGAAAAACATGCATGACATAACTGACATGCAAGGGGTTTGGATGCATGTATCTTTCTGTGATTCTCCATGTTCTCCTGTTTGTAAAACATTTTTGAACAAATATTACACTTATGCTTTTTTTCATGAACAAGGGAATGTTTTTTTAAACCTCTCTGTGTACTAAAACATTTTGAACATATTTTACATTTAAATTTTGAGTCTCCAGAATCTTGACCATCATTACTTAAATCATAATAATTATCATCGATCTCATCTTCACTGTAAGTTTTATTAGGCACTGATTTAACTTTTCTACCTGATGTACGTTTCTGTAAAACTTCTTCCTCTTTGATATCATCATTTAATAAATTTTCGTCAAGAAATTCATCCTCTTGTTTCTTGTCATCTTCTTCCATATTTTGACTAGTGTCTGGAATTTCTTCAGATTTATTTTGTATATCTATAGTTTCAGAAACATCATTAGTACCTTCTTCTATAAGAGAAGTTTGATGTATATCATTTTCTGAACTGCAAGCTTCCTTCTGAGATTCCTTAGTTGTTTCAAATCCAATAGAACATATAAAAAGTTTTTCATTCTGCATCTCAATTTGGCCAGTATTTAAACCAGATTCACTTCTACAATATGAATTGTTATTTTGTATAAATTCTTGAGAATTTGATGATGCTCCTTGCATTTCCTCCTTTACAAAATAATCTTCTTCGCTAACTTGCTCTTTTGATAATGCTGTTCTTATCTCTGGTTCTGTTTGTGTGCATGTATCCTAGAATATTTAAGAACATGTATATTTGATAGATTGCATGTACTGCATAAATATATTTTATATTTACCACAATAGTAATTTTTGCTGGTTTATTATAATACATTCGTAATTTGGCATCAGAATGCTGACATTGTTGCCTAAATTCATGAGCAACGCTTGCTTTATAAATACAAATATCACAAATTAATGAAGGTAATCCATCTTGTTCATGAATTTCTACTGATCCACAAACTTGTATTTTTTGTGGAAGATCAGAAAAATCATTTACTTCTTGATCGGTACAAAAAATAGAAGATAAATTCGTACCCTCTGTAAGGCAAATTCTGCAGATTCTGTCCATATTAAGCGGTAAATCAAAGTATTCCGTCATTTTTTGCTGAAAGAAATAAAAACATGTGCCATGATTTTTTTTGTAATTTATACAAATGATATCAAACTACAATTTTAATACTAGATAAAGTTTTGTGTAAATATCTTTTTTATTTTACATACTTTTTCATAAAGTAAAAAAGTTATATTTCATGACATAAACATTAAACTGTACAAAATCCAAATCTAAGTATACATTATATATGCTTGAAAACTTCATTCAATATATTAATAATTATATGGTATTCCATGTATTATTATTAACAATGAATAAAAATTCATTGTAAGTAGTGGAATAAAAATCCAAATACATTGTAACAAGCTATGTATTCGAATACGTCAATACAATTAGAAACGTATATGTAATAAAAGATGAGAATGTATATCTGAGCCAAAATCCGTTTTATTCTAAAAAGCTTATTGTTGAAAGCAAATAAAAAAAGATTAACGTACAAAAATGGGAGGTTCTCAACCTTCGGATCTTTTGTGTACCGCGAAAACATGCCACGATGTTAAAACAATGGTTAGCAGTGATGCCCAGATGATTGCAGTGGAGCTTCTCTGAGAAATATTGTATTACTCGAATTCATAGAAAGCACAGTTTTCATACAAATTCTATACAATTCAAGAGGATAATATTACGCCATACATTATTAATGTATATTTTCCAGTTTCATGATACGCTTCTGCAAAATATATTTAATACTTTTCTATCTCTTTGTTCAATGGCTTCTTTTACACATTTATATACAGAGCTGCTATGAAAGTTGAGAGCAATCTGAAATGAACTTACGAAGCCAAAGATCTAGAGAACTTATGAAAAACGATGTTGAAGCAGTCGGTACAAAAAAAAATTGTATGTTGGATGATTGTTGCTACTTACTTCATACGTTAAAGTATAACTGTAGTGCAAGAAATTTGCTAAATTATTATAAAACATAGCTATTTGTAATAAAATATACATGAACGCATTTTTTATGGCTTCATTTTTCGTATGTAACTAGATTTTAGAAAATTTTGATAGCTTATATCGCAAAAATCTCGTGTATATAAAATTTATTGAGAAGTACAAACTGAATTTTGGCAGTTTAATATACTAAACATTGTAGAAAATATGCAAATATATTGCTAATTTAATTACTTCGCATCTATAAGTGTTTGGTAATTTGTGTTGAACTAAATCTAACTTGATACGTTTTATACATACGGTATTATGCTGATTTATGTAATAAAATATTTTTTGATTGGGTAATCAAATGAAACATACAGTTTGTAACTAGCAGAATCGCAATTTTACAAATCTTAGGAATTTTATGTTTACAATTTTGCGTATGCATCATGCATAGAAAGTTGAGTGGTTTATCTACTTGTGATAATTCTTAGGTTTATTCTTCATGGGATATTCTTATCCGCCGATCTGTCAAAAAATGTAAATGTAAGACTATGATTGAAGTTTAAGGTTTCTAACATACGGTAATGCAATCGAAGCAAGTTATCCGATTTAGTCGGAATATTGGACGAATGTAGAAAGAAACCTTTTAAGCGATATTGGAAATATACCATTTATTTTTTAAATGCCATTATGGCTCTTCGTAAAGTAAAAGGAAATTTTGAACGGATGTTCGATAAAAATCTAACGGATCTGGTACGCGGAATTAGAAACAATAAAGAAAATGAGGTAAATGCATTATTCTAATTATGTATTGGTCATTGTATTAAATATTACTTATAAGGGTATAACCTTATTCATCCAAGTTAACAATTTCAGTCAATTTTTTAGTATCTATAATTATTTTCTTATTAATAGGCGAAGTATATCGCACAGTGCATTGAAGAAATTAAACAAGAATTACGACAAGATAATGTTGCGGTTAAAGCAAATGCTGTTGCGAAGCTAACATATGTAAGTTTAACGTTTATATATTAACTTTCATCGATTACATTTATGGCATTCATTAATATAATTTCTTTTAACTTTATTTAGCTTCAAATGTTGGGATATGATATTAGTTGGGCTGGTTTCAATATAATCGAAGTAATGTCATCTGCTAAGTTTACGTATAAACGAATTGGCTATTTGGCAGCAAGTCAGAGTTTTCATGCAGATACTGAAGTATGATATTATTTGAAATTGACATAATGCATGAGTCTTAAGGAAATCTGATAAACATTTCATATTTGATTACAATTAAATATCAGTTTTTATATAAAAATACCATTTTTATTCAACTCTTTATAATTTAATGTGTAGAATCATTCATTTATAATACCTGTTTATTCTTGATCAGTATTACATTTTGATAGATATTTTGTAATTTTAATAAGCGAAATTAAGTCTATATATGCATGTGTTTCAAATTCAGGTAAATAATTTAGTTATTTTACTACCTTTATTGCAATATATGTATGATAGAGATTTGTCAGATTTCTAAAGACAGGTTATATGAAATAAAGAAAGTATTTCTAATAATAATCAAATTTATTGCAGCTTTTGATGTTAACTACCAATATGATTCGCAAAGATTTAAACAGTCAAAATCAGTATGATGCTGGTTTGGCTTTAAGTGGTCTATCTTGTTTTATAACATCAGATCTTGCACGTGATTTGGTTAATGACATCATGACATTATTAACTTCTACCAAACCATATCTTCGCAAAAAAGCAGTGCTAATGATGTATAAAGTTTTCTTGCGATTTCCGGAAGCACTGAGGCCTGCATTTCCCAGATTGAAAGAAAAATTGGAAGATCCAGATAGTGGTGTACAAAGTGCTGCTGTTAATGTTGTTTGTGAATTGGCAAGAAAAAATCCAAAAAACTATCTAAGTTTAGCACCTGTTTTTTTCAAACTTATGACAACATCTACAAATAATTGGATGTTAATAAAAATCATTAAGCTGGTAAGTGAATATTATTTCCTAATTTTATAAAATTAAAGTGAAACACAGATTAATTAAAATATAGGCTCATTGTTATAATTATATAAGCATTTATATATACATAATGCTTTTTAACATGAGCCAAGTAATATTGGTCTTGTTTCACGTGCTCAGTTCTCCACTATAACACTGATTGAGCCGAAAATGGGTCGGCGACTTACTCAACCACTAATTGACCTGATTTCAAGGTTTTCATATTAGTTGATTATGTTTTGTTATCAGAATATAGTGAAATTATAGATATTAGTCTTAGTATGACTTAGTAGCTTGTATTTATTTCTAAAATGTACTTGTTAGCAGTTATTTCAAATATTATGTAAATGATGTTTAGAAATCTTATCATATATTAAATACTGCCATATTTCTTAGACTGCAATTATATTTCCAGTTTGGCGCATTGACACCTCTAGAACCTAGGCTTGGCAAAAAATTAATAGAACCCCTTACAAATTTGATACACAGGTATTTAAAGTATTTTTGATTATAAATATATAAAAATATTGCACTTGCATGTTTGATACTGCTTGTAAAATAGTTTTATTTTTTATTACTATTAATTTAAAAAATGTAGTTAATTATTTATTTTGTCTAACATTTTGTTAGAGTAATTTAATGAACATAAATTACCTTGTTATATTTTATTATCATTTTAATTATTCAAGTAATTAATTGATTGCATAATTACCACAATTTTTTAATTATGTGATATTATTGATTTTTAGTACATCAGCAATGTCTCTGCTATATGAATGTATAAATACAGTAATTGCTGTATTAATTTCAATTTCCTCTGGTATGCCAAACCATTCTGATTCAATCCAATTATGTGTTCAAAAATTGAGAATATTGATAGAGGATTCTGATCAGAACTTAAAGTACTTGGGACTGTTAGCAATGTCAAAAATTTTAAAGACTCATCCTAAAAGTGTGCAAGCTCATAAAGATCTTATAATGCAATGCTTAGATGATAAAGATGAAAGTATAAGATTGCGTGCCTTGGATTTATTATATGGAATGGTTTCAAAGAAGAATTTAATGGAGATAGTTAGAAAATTAATGGTGCATATGGATAAAGCAGAAGGCACTGCATACAGAGATGAATTACTCTCGAAAATTATTCAGATCTGTTCACAAAATAATTATCAATTTGTTACTTATTTTGAATGGTAAAGTAATTACTAAAAAATATATATCGTTTCTGTCTATTAAAGCAATTTTTATCTATCTGTAAATATTTTTCATATATATAGGTACATATCTGTATTGGTTGAATTAACACGAATGGAAGGTACCAAACATGGACCACTAGTAGCAACTCAATTACTTGATGTAGCAATTCGTGTACAAGCTATACGAAAATATGCGGTTCAACAATGTGCCTTACTGCTAGAAAATTCATATCTTCTAACAGGCCAACCAAGAGCAACAATGTCTGAAGTTTTATATGCCGCTGCATGGATATGTGGAGAGTTCTCTAGGTATTCTATGAACATGTCCTGATCTACATTAATTTTTTCATTAAAATATAATTGATAATATATTAAATTAATAGTGAACTCGAAGATCCTCTAGCAACATTACAATCAATGTTACGATCACAAGCTTCTAGCTTACCAGGACATATTCAAGCTGTTTATGTCCATAATATCTTGAAACTTGCTACAGCAACATTATATAAAGCTGAAAAAGACGGGGATACTGAAACTATGGAACAGGTATATCCTATATTATTATAGTTTTTTTTTACTTCGTCACTGTATTCATTCATCTATTTTCAATTTATCATGGTAAGAATTATTCATGAAAATTAAAAATTATGTTTATTATTTAACAAACTTGAATTTATATATTATTTGAAAGTCATTTATTTGTTAATACTGTTTAATTATTGTAGTGCAAAATATAGGTTCTTTTTATATAGACTTGTATTGTTTTGTTATGTAATAAATTAATTTATGTTTCATAAATATAACTATTAGGATATTATGTAACATAATCTTGCTACTCTTGTTCCATTATAATACACTATAATTAATAATAATGTGTATGTATCTATCCTTAATGATATGTGTAAATTTTATTGTATTTTACAGATTTATGCACTACAAGATAAAATAGCAGATTTTGTATGCAGTGGGGACTTAGAGGTTCAAGAAAGATCTAGTTCGACATTGGTTTTATTTGAATGTTTGAAAGAAAATCCTGGACTGGTACAAGAATTGATGGAAGCATTTGAAGGAGAACTTAACCCTGTTGCTCCTAAAGCACAGAGAAAGGTAATTATTATATGTTCATCATATATAAATTCATATTTGAATATAATATCTATTTCAAAGTTCGTAACAAATCCTTATTACTAACGCTACAATGGAAACGTATTATAAAATTATTTATTTTTGTTTAGGTGCCGATTCCTGAGGATCTAGATCTGGACTCATGGATTAATGATCCTCCATCTGAAAGCTCAGATTCAGAAGACTTAGATATGAATGATATATTTATTAAGACCGACAAAACAAGTGATTCCTATTCTAAGCGTGAATTAATTGAACCGTCAGCAGAAGAACTTCAGAAACGTCGCGAAGCGAGAAAATTGGAACAACAAAATAATCCACACTATTTAAAAGACACGTTTAAAAATTCTGGTTCATATCATAATTCATCAAGTATTTACGAAGAATTTGAAAACATTCCTGTAGCAGAGCTGGATATTCCAATTTCTTTGAAGATTACAAACAATCATAAAAGGTATAAAATACATGGCAAAAAGAAGAAGAAATCCAAGAAAAGTATGTTGAAAGTTCATATTATTTTGCATATATTTTATAACATGTTATAGTATTACAACACAATTATTTAAATTGTTTAGATAAAAAAGTCACTTCAGAAGATGAACAAGATGATAGTTTTCCGACCCAAATGGTAAACACTGGAATAGGTGAACTTCCTCCGGGAGCAGAACTAAGTGATAGCGATGACTATGATCAAGTCGATGTAAATGATCCACATAGAGCCTTAAATATTGACTTAGATTTACCCTTGAGAGATGATGAAAGGCTACCTGTTCTGGAACATAGGATTATTGAAAATAATTTGACTCATGATCCTGTTAAAAGTAAAGGGAAAAAGAAAGAACAGGTAATATTTTGTTTTCTCTTTCTTATGTTTAAAAAAATTTTGATATGTTATATTAGATACTAATTATTTTGAACCAAAAATTTATTAATTTGAAACTGAGTATTATTTATATCACAAAAAATTACATCGTTACATTTTCTTATTAGGGATACAAAAAATCTAAAAAAAAAGTTAAAGAAGCTAAAGTAGTTAAAGAGAGACGTCATGACAATCAATTGGAAATAACTGATATGTGGCTAGAAGATAGTGCTCCGTCAGATAAAATTCAATCTCCTATTGTTAATGAATATACTGAAGTATTCAGTGAAAAAGAATCGGAACAAAAGGATATTAGACGTAAAAAATCGAAAAGCCAAGACAAAAGTAAGAAAACGGATGAAGATTCAAAGCATCGAAAGTCGAAGAAATCTAAAAGTAAAAAAGAGAAAAAGTCTGCAGATTACGAAGAAACTGCTGGAATATCGACACCATCGAAAGAGATAGTACCAGATTTAAAATACAATTTTACGAATTCTGCAGATAGTACAACCTTAGTGCAGCCAACAACTTCGTTTGAAGAATTAGCTAAAAATAAGGTGCTTTCTTTAACGTACGAATTAAAACAAATTTCTCATGAATCAGATCATTTGATTGCATCAATACTCATTACAAATAATTGTCAAAAGCTTGTGAAAGAATTAATATTTGAAGTTCCGGATACGCCTTCACTGAGATTAATGAAAAATGTAAGTTATTACCATATATAAAGTTGGATCTATTAAGTATGAAAATGAAAACTAATTTTATGTAATTATTTTATTCGGCCTGGATCTTTTGTTAGGTTGGAGATGAATTTGGAATAAAACTGCCTTTCCAACTGCCTCCTGAAACTAGCAAAGAAACACAATTTACTATTTTAATCTCAGATGATACATTTGCTCAGACGTTAAGGGGCACGCTTACGTATATGTTAGAAAACAAGGAAAATACAATTCAGGAAAAACTTGATTTTAGTATGCGTTTAACATGCAGTAAATTCATGGTTGGTTATCTTCCACATAAGGATATACTAACAGAATTACTTAAAAGTCGTCAGTTCATTTGCAAAAATAGACGTCTTAGAAAATTAGTTGCTTTCTCTGAAAATTTTGATGTTATTTTAAATGCAATTTGTAGCAAGTGCAATCTCATATTAGTGGAACAAATTTATGATACTGCATCCTTGTATGGACATTCTCTCAAAGGACATCACGTGTGCCTTTTATTAAAGTATGATGTAAGTAACAACATATTTATTTTTCTTTTTAAAATTTAGTAGTTATTTTAGAAAATGTAAATACAAATTTTTATTTTGCAGAAATTTAAACATACTTTCTTACTCGAAGGTAAAGGTGACAGTGACACGTTACTGTCTGAAATTGCTGATGAAGTGTTAGAAATCATTGATGCTCATCAAATGATAAAGTGAAGTGTTTATATTTTATGATTCCTATTCTTATTCATTGCAACCATGTCCATTATATTATTCAACAGCAAAATGAACACTTTACAGAATTCATTACATATGAAGTAATAGTTATAGAAAACTTATCTGTAAACTTATTAAATATTTTCAGAAAAAAATTTTATTTAAACTTTACATCTAATTTAGATAAACAAATTTATGACATATATATGTGAATGTATATGTATACAGAGTGTATCATATAATGGTATCTACAATTTTTAAACTGCTTAAAATAATTTGTCAGAAGGTGTTATGTAAAATTAAGTAGCTTACAATACCTAATTTTCATCTCAGGATAAATTAGATCTCCATACGATGTCATCACTATATGCATTTATAAAACGAGGTACTATTTGTATGTTAACAATTACATATCTCAATAACGAATTAATAAATTTGTATATATTTTTCTTTCGTTTACGGCAATTTTTGTTTAAAAATTCTAGTAAATAGTGAAATAGTATCATATAAAAATAACTAATTATGTTTTGTTCATATTTTTAATTACCATCCAGTATCATATAGTTACAGTATAGTGATCTATGCTTGTTACTCTTTTGAAAGGATTGTTCTAAATACGAAGAAAAATATTATACAAATCGAACAATCAGTATTTGATGGCAATAATGCCATTATGTTTCACATTTTCATGCTACACTTGAAAATTTAAGAGTTCATAAATTTATATTTGTCCGATTTTATGTACCAACTTTTTCTGATATCTTATTTGGAAGTGTTCGAAACTGTAAATAATGTTACAAGATGCGCCCTGCATACATATAAATAGGCACACACATTATTACATGTATATATGCGTGTGTGTATGTGTGTGTATGAAATCACATTTTAATAAAAAGGAAGAGAGATTTAACACCAGAAATTGAAGACATCAGAATGAAAGTAGTTTATTTTATTTATATAGGACTTCAGTTCATAAATTAATGTGCAATAATAAAATAATAGGTGATAAAACAAAATATTTATTTTTGATCAACTTTTTACACTATCTTAAGTAATAAGAGCTTGGTTGCATAATTTACAATATGTAAATATTCTTTTACCATTTTTGTGGAAATTTTAAAACGATAATTTCCTTAAAAATTGAAATCATGTTTTTTATAAACATGAACACCTGTCTGTATAGTTCATAATATTAAATCGTTAAACTATTTTGCCAAAAGTGCTAGAGAAAGGTATAAGAAAAACTATTGCGTGAAATATTATGTGTAAAAACATCCGTTTGTAAAATATTTCAACAACTGTAATAAACTAAGAATATCATTTATTAGAAATTGGCTACTTTATAAACTGATATCTTCAATTTTATGTTATTAGAAGATTAATATTATAATTATATTGTTGAACAACTTATTCAATTGTAAAATACAACACGGACATCCGTGAATTGTGTGAATGTACATCAATGTTTACAGCAGAATGTATACTTCCTGCATGACTTTGTAATATCAATAATTTAATACATATAGGGGTCTACTCTAAATATATATATAAATATGCAATACAGTACGCATGAAACACCAAATGTAAATAGCTAATACTTGTATGCCGATAAACAATATTTTTATTTTAAATATCTTCCAAAAATTAATTTCATTTTCATAAAAAACAGAATTTTCTATTAAATAATTAATTCATCTATATGTAATATTTCTTTACGTTAATATTACATGATTTTCATTTGAATAACTAACTATTTATATTCATCGTTAAAAATGAAAAAAGAACGATGAGTAATTAAAGAGATTATGAGCATAATTGCCAGTAAATGATTTAAAAATATTAGAAATAGAAATACCGCTATTATATATTTTTATTTTAAACCCGTTACTTTGCGTATATTTTTCGAATGTTTGTTTTTTTTTGTCGTTATATTTGAAAATATAGATACAAATTTGCATATACTGTTATAACATTTGTTGTGCCAAAAATGATCAATCAGTAAAAATTTCGTCCTTGACATAACATGTAAAATATAAAAGTATACTTAAGCCAAATAAACATTTGTTTTGTGTTTGCATTTATATATGATATTAAATATACTATTACTTGCTGTAAAATAAGAACTTTATATTTTACATTAATTGTAGCTTATGTATAATGATATTTATATTCCTTTTTACAAATAATTACAATAATAATAATTTGTTAAATTTATTCATAATATAATTTTTAATTCTTTGTATTTGATAAAGAAGAAAAATAGATTTTATCTTTTGAAAATATGTTATGTAAACAAGTTATTCTTAATGGAATTACTTCAATTTATGAGTATTTTAAATTTTGTTTAGTTTAAAATAATGCGAGGCGAAATATTTTCCTGCCATTAGTTTGCATTGCGCTTATTATTCTGTCGCGTTCATGTGACTTCTTACTTTCATTCCCTCCAGTTCGTTTTCAAAACTGTAAGTGATGGTTCGTTCGATGGAGGCTCAATTCTGTACCTGGAAAATTCAGCATATTCCTGCAGAAATTAAGCGTCTTCTGAAATATAAGAAATAAGAGAATGAAAGGCAGTCAGATTAATGAAGAGAAATTTTTTATCGCGTTAATTGTGAGTATTTATACATATGAATATTTGATTCTCTAATGTAAAGTAAACTGCGTATGCCATAATTGAACATTATCCTTTTTATATATAAAACTGTCTTACTGAATTACAAACAAAATTAGTCAATTGTTTCAATTTATATGATAGCGAAAGTACAGAAAAATTTTCGATAAATTATAAATTCTAATAAGTATGGTAGAAAGTAATAGTAATGCTCTTCCTAAAATTAGAGTTGAAATTAAAAACGCGCGCAAATTTTTCAAATAAAACCGTTACAACAAAATATGTCATACCATCACAAGGTCTTAGTATCATAATTTATCATTAACTTTATTCAATAAAGCAATGCAAATTTTCTAAAATAATATGTTTAATTGTACAGACAAGAATTTTTATATAATATAAAATTTTCAGATGAAAGTTTCTAAAATCTGGTAACAGAAAGCGGAGGAAAATTAAATTACCAAAGGTTGGTATAGCATGTTTTGACATTAGGCTAAGATGGCGGTATTTTTCAGTGTTTCTATGGCGTAGAAGTATCGTGTTCTTCAATTTTTCGGGTTTTCAGTAGAATATTCGTCGTCAATGAATTATGGAGGCTAGTGCGAGTACCGGTACTCGTACAATGCGGTTTATGATGGAGGGTGTCGGAGCCCGAGTCATCCGTGGACCCGAATGGAAATGGGGTAAACAGGTTAGTAAAAAGGTTAACTGAATTTAACACAATTTTTCATTAGAACTATGTTTTCTATTTATTCCAAATGTATTTTGAAGTATAATATTGACAATCTTTTATTAATATTTTTACAAGTCATTCAATTTTAATTATATATAACATTTAAAATGAAATTAATCATGTTCGTTTAAGGTTATTCTACAAGTGGCATTATTTAATAGAGATTTGTTTATACCTCTATGTATTTTGGAATATGAGTAGAAATATTATAATTTTCTCAATATTCATTACATAATTTGATCAACTATATTTGTTTTAGTTCAGATATTTACTATATTTTGTTTTATTTACATCATTTCTTATAGTTAATTTCCATACATTCAACAATTTTAAATAATCTTTAATTAACTTCATTTTATGTTTATTTGAATAACTTTGAAAATTTTGTATTTATATTATATAAACTTATATAAATAATCAAAAAGAAAACATAATAATTGTTTTAGCTTTTGTTTATTATGAAATTATTAATTTAATATCCTGTTTAACAGATATTAAGAAACTATAATTTCTTGATTTAATAGGATGGAGGAGAAGGTCATGTAGGAACTGTTAGAAATTTTGAATCCCCTGAAGAAGTGGTTGTTGTTTGGGATAATGGTACAGCAGCTAATTATCGTTGTTCTGGTGCATTTGATCTTCGAATTTTGGATTCAGCTCCAACAGGGGTAAAACATGATGGAACAATGTGTGATACATGTAGACAGCAACCGATTTTTGGAATTCGTTGGAAATGTGCAGAATGTGGAAATTATGATTTATGTTCTATCTGTTATCATGGAGACAAACATCACTTAAGACATAGATTTTATCGTATAGCAACTCCTGGCAGTGAAAGAGTATTACTAGAACCTAGACGTAAAAGTAAAAAGGTATTAATTGTTTATCTCAAATATTTATTACTTCCACTGTTACAATCTAATCCATTTTATATTTTATACAGATTGCAATTCGTGGCATATTTCCTGGTGCAAGAGTTGTACGAGGTGTTGATTGGCAATGGGAAGACCAAGATGGTGGGAATGGGCGAAGAGGAAAAGTTAATGAAATTCAAGATTGGTCAGCAGCAAGTCCACGTTCAGCAGCTTATGTTATATGGGATAATGGTGCCAAAAATTTATACCGAGTTGGTTTTGAAGGAATGGTTAGTTAAAAATAATTTCAAGTTCAATAAAATTCAATATGAATTGAATGTATCAATTAAGTAATTGGTAACTTTTTATGGTTTAGGCTGATTTAAAGGTTGTTAATGATGCCAAAGGTCAAACAGTATATAGGGACCATTTACCATTATTGGGTGAACAGGGTCCAGGTCGTACAGGCCCACATGGATTACAAATTGGAGATCAGGTAATTTAATAATATAGTTGTTAAAAAAATACAAATAATTAAATCGTCTTTTTACTTTATAGGTTAATGTTGACTTAGAATTAGAAATAGTACAGTCATTACAACATGGACACGGTGGTTGGACAGACGGTATGTTCGAGTGTCTAGGCACTACTGGTACTGTTGTTGGTATTGATGAGGATCATGATATCGTCGTATCATACCCGAGCGGTAATCGCTGGACATTTAATCCTGCTGTATTAACAAAAGTGCAAATACCAGTACCAGTTACTAGTTCAAGTTCTGATAATCAAACATTTGCGGTTGGAGATTTGGTACAAATATGTAACGATTTAGAAAAAATTAAACTACTTCAACGAGGGCATGGAGAATGGGCCGAAGCAATGGCACCGGTATGTATTGTTTTATAAAAATATTTGAGATCTCTATGTAAAGCTTTTTAAACTTATGGGTTATCATATCTATTGTATGTTTCAACAGACAATGGGAAAAATTGGAAGAGTTCTACAAATATATCACGATGGCGATCTGAAAGTAGAAGTTTGTAGTACTTCTTGGACATATAATCCTCAAGCAGTTACTAAAGTCGCAAGTAGCGACGGTAGTGTTCCAGGAAATAGCAGTGGAGGTAAGCTTTAATACTGGAAAAAAGTCGAATTATATTAGTTATTAAAATTTAATCTGTATTTTCTAAGATTATATAAAAAAATATTTTTTCAGAGCGCCTATCAGCATTGTTGAAAAAATTATTTGAAACTCATGTCTCGGGTGATGTTAACGAAGAATTAGTAAAAACTGCCGCGAATGGTGATGCTGCCAAATGCGAAGAATGTCTGAAAAGACCTGAAGCCGATGTAAACGGTGTGTTCGCTGGTCACACTGCTTTACAAGCTGCAAGTCAAAATGGCCATTTAGAAGTTATAAAAATTCTCCTCCGTTACAAAGCAGATGTTGAAATTGAGGTAAATACTTTTTCTTAGTGTTTAATTTTGAAAGGTAACATATTTAAGAATAAGTATAATCAAAATTATTGCGATATGTTTTTAGGATAAAGATGGAGATAGAGCTGTACACCATGCAGCATTTGGGGATGAACCGGGCGTAATGGCATTGTTAGCTGGTGCAGGAGCTGACTTAAATGCTAGAAATAAAAGACGCCAAACCGCCCTTCATATCGCGGTGAACAAAGGACATGCTGGTGTAGTGCGCACGTTATTGGAGTTAGGCTGTCATCCGAGTTTACAAGTAAGTGGTACCATATATTACTTTATCTGGATAATACAAATCTGGTATAGTACTTTTAAATATGTTTATTTATATAAAAATATTACAAAGTATTTAAATTAAAAGTATATGAAGTTAAGAATGAAAATATATATATCGTTTAACATTCAATCGAAAACATCAAGAGTACATCAATAATGATTTACGAAATGTTATCACTTATATTTACACATAATAATAGTTACATATTGCTTAGTATAAGCTTTCTTAACTCTTGGAAGGATATAAATTGAATTATATTAGTAAAACTATTCTTTTGTATAAACAATTTAACAAGAATAAAGAAAATTGAAAATACAATGTATTGACATTTTAATTCGATATGTATCTTTTTGTTTCGTGTGTTATATATTTTATTGAAGGTACGTTATATTTCACGACAAGGTTCTGTAATATCGAAATTTATTACAAGATTATATTTTTGCGTTTGTCAATTATCAAACTTGCTCGTAAATATACAAGCTAAAATTTTGATGCTAGAAGTATTAACCACTCAAATTGAATTCAGATGTTTTGTTTTATTTAGTTTTGCACTTCATTTTCAATTTGAAAACATCCGCAACTTAGACGTTTATTTTAGATATTTTATATGTACTCATTTCAAAAATATTTTATTTCTGTCACATTCGTTTCTAAATATATAGGAGGAATTTCTTGTTACAAAGAGTTTCACAATCTTTTTTCAATGTATTTAAAGAAGATATATTCGTTGATTACATTACAGAACCCGTATTACTATAATAAAATATATAAGTAGTTTTCGTAATTTATTATAATAAACATAGAACGTAATTTTAGATAGCTTGAGTTTTTTAATGATAGGATATGTACAAAAATATTCATAGTCAAATTTCTATATTGCTTCTCTATCTGTCTCCATTAAAAAGATAGCTATTTTTCTTTAATATTGATTTCTATTTATTTACTGTTGGTTTATGTAAACAAATGAATTAGGAATTTAGTTATACATTTTATGCAAAAAGGTAGAAAGTGTTTTGAAACCTTCCTTACTTATTTTCATATCTCATTTGCCACATTACGTTGTGTTTATGAAACTTGTAATTTTATCATTTCATTCGTGGCTAAGCAAGAATTTGCTCTGTAGTTTTGTGTATACCACCTGTAGTGAAATTAGAAACTGCGAAGCAACATAATTATTGTAACACGTTCCATGCCGAGGGGGTACTGGTGGTAATTACGACGTTTGTCAGAAACACGATTTTAATTAAACGAGGATATATATTTTTCAGTTTAATATTCACCCAAAAAAGTGGGGAAGAGCGAAATGAACTTTAGCGAATTTAATGTAATTGCAATCTCTGATAATTACGTTTTTCAGAAATAATTTTAGATCATTTGTTAAATATCTCCCATAAATATTTAATTTTCTTGACTGGATCTTGTGAATGAGACAAATACGATTAGATAAACATTTTAAAACAAAATTTATAATAACGTACAGAGAATTGATATAAAGTAATTTTTGTTTGAAAAATTTTTTGATTAAGGAACATTTCAAGAGATAATTTCACGGACAGTTTAAAATAGCACATTCTGGTTAGTTAGTGCCTTGTACAATTGTGTGCGAGTTTATATGGTAATTGCATAAATTAAATAATTATCATACACATAAGTCATTTTCAATCATAAAATAATTTTGACTAACTTTTTCATGCAAATGTGCTATTGTATACCGTCCAAGGATTAATTTACCCGTAGCAAATAAAAGTACTGGAAGTACTATAATACACTTGAAATGCTGGTAGTATTATTTTAGCGAAATGCTCGTAATAAAAACTAAAACAATCGAATCAAACTTTCGGCTTCAAAATTCAAATAAAATTTTAATATTAATACTTTGATACTTGTACATTTCGTGGAGTTAAGCTTTTGCAGTTTCATATATCATATTTTATGCCTGATAGCTGCGTAATATTGCCTGAACGGTGCATTATTATTAATTTTGAAAATTAATACTTGATAGAGTATATAAAGATAAGGTTCAAAATAAGGATGTAAAAGATTAAGAATCAAACTCCTCGATATATGACAGTGATCAAAGGATTGATATTAAAATTTTCAGAAATGAAAAGAAAATAGTTCTATTTTAAATTAAGAAATATAAGCGTTCGCGAATATAGGAATTTGTATATATAGTCATCTGATAACATAGAAGTTAAGGATTATATTGGTCTTAGAATTCTAAATGTTTAGGAATATGTAGGGAGTTCCATAGCGAGTTACTGAAACTACTCAGCTCATACTTTATTACAGAAATGGAATTAGTTTCTCATTTTGACATGCAAGTTCGCGCTTTTGCTAAAGCCAGAACAAAATTATGGAATCTCAGGTCAACGATTACGATGGGCACTTTGCAAAGTTATAAATGATGGCGAAATACATTTAGATTCAGCAATTTAGGAAGCATAGAAGTATCGAAGTTCGAAGGTACATTTGAAATATACAAATTGGGGAATGAAGAGATTTGGGAATATAGGGAATTAGGAAATGTAGAAATTGTAGAACATCGAAATGTGGAGATATGGGCGTAGATACGTGGAGATTTGGAAACTGTGATAATACAGAGATTTGGCATACATAGAAATTGGAGGATATATGAAGTTGGAATTTAAGCAATTTAGAGATGTAGAAAAGGGAATGTAGAAATTGTGAAATATAAGAAGTGGGAACTTAGGATTTTGGATAATATAGAAATCGGAGAATATAGGAAGTTGAAGAATTAGAAATTTGGGGATATAGAAATTGGAATATTAAATAGTAGTAGAATAGTAACAACACATGAATTAAGGTTTATTAATCTTAATTTAAATCCCAATACTCTCCAGTATTCAAGTACTTTGCACAGTAATGAATTACTGCAATAATTAGTAACTTAGTTAGTGCCTTGTACAATTGTGTGCGAGTTTATATGGTAATTGCATAAATTAAATAATTATCATACACATAAGTCATTTTCAATCATAAAATAATTTTGACTAACTTTTTCATGCAAATGTGCTATTGTATACCGTCCAAGGATTAATTTACCCGTAGCAAATAAAAGTACTGGAAGTACTATAATACACTTGAAATGCTGGTAGTATTATTTTAGCGAAATGCTCGTAATAAAAACTAAAACAATCGAATCAAACTTTCGGCTTCAAAATTCAAATAAAATTTTAATATTAATACTTTGATACTTGTACATTTCGTGGAGTTAAGCTTTTGCAGTTTCATATATCATATTTTATGCCTGATAGCTGCGTAATATTGCCTGAACGGTGCATTATTATTAATTTTGAAAATTAATACTTGATAGAGTATATAAAGATAAGGTTCAAAATAAGGATGTAAAAGATTAAGAATCAAACTCCTCGATATATGACAGTGATCAAAGGATTGATATTAAAATTTTCAGAAATGAAAAGAAAATAGTTCTATTTTAAATTAAGAAATATAAGCGTTCGCGAATATAGGAATTTGTATATATAGTCATCTGATAACATAGAAGTTAAGGATTATATTGGTCTTAGAATTCTAAATGTTTAGGAATATGTAGGGAGTTCCATAGCGAGTTACTGAAACTACTCAGCTCATACTTTATTACAGAAATGGAATTAGTTTCTCATTTTGACATGCAAGTTCGCGCTTTTGCTAAAGCCAGAACAAAATTATGGAATCTCAGGTCAACGATTACGATGGGCACTTTGCAAAGTTATAAATGATGGCGAAATACATTTAGATTCAGCAATTTAGGAAGCATAGAAGTATCGAAGTTCGAAGGTACATTTGAAATATACAAATTGGGGAATGAAGAGATTTGGGAATATAGGGAATTAGGAAATGTAGAAATTGTAGAACATCGAAATGTGGAGATATGGGCGTAGATACGTGGAGATTTGGAAACTGTGATAATACAGAGATTTGGCATACATAGAAATTGGAGGATATATGAAGTTGGAATTTAAGCAATTTAGAGATGTAGAAAAGGGAATGTAGAAATTGTGAAATATAAGAAGTGGGAACTTAGGATTTTGGATAATATAGAAATCGGAGAATATAGGAAGTTGAAGAATTAGAAATTTGGGGATATAGAAATTGGAATATTAAATAGTAGTAGAATAGTAACAACACATGAATTAAGGTTTATTAATCTTAATTTAAATCCCAATACTCTCCAGTATTCAAGTACTTTGCACAGTAATGAATTACTGCAATAATTAGTAACACTGCCAATAATTCATGACTGAACAAAACTATTAGGTCCTTCAGGATTCCTACACTACTACACATCAAATATTGAAGTATTTCCACCAGTGCTCAGGGTTTCTGAACTATTGAAATTATTACTTGCTTACTACTGACTTGTTAGTATATAAACTATTGCATAGAAATTGTATAGAAAAAAAATACAAGTCGGTAGTATTAAATTACTGGATCTTTTTAATAAAATATTAGTCAATACTTTCTTGTACGGGAAATGGCTACAAATTTTTCGTCGTTATATCATTTTTCCTATACATCTCGTGATCAGTTGGTCATGGATTTTCATCTCCTTTTTCCCTCCCTCGGCTTAATTATTTGGTCTAAAACTTACTTTCCTTCGTTTTCGGAGTGGAAAGGTCGTCGCGCACGGAGAGTCACATGTACGAATGTGAATTAGTGTTAATTCACCTTTGTTACATGGGTATCTCCTCATTTGCAGGAGACTTAATTAATTCAGTTATCTGCCTGGAGGAAGCCTCGAATTCCACCTGCGTTACGAGTGTCGCAGGATTGTGTTTGAGAATACGTGTTGCGCATAATCAAGCCGAGCTCTCTGTATATCTGGTGTCCGGGCAATGGGGTATAACACCAGGGATCCCTATTTTCCTTCGAAACAATTCGAACCTGAAGACAACCGGGAACGTTTTCTGCGATAAACAACGCTTACGTGCTTGGCATACTCCCTGGGAACTTGA